TAGTTAGAAGATTTCATACCGGTAGCGTGTCAGTATGCTCACCTCAAGAATTCCAGTTTGGTTTTCCCAGCATAGAATGCCCCATATTTACAAGTCAGTAAATAAACAACTCCTAATGTTCTACAGTTAGCAAAATGCTTGGAACTATAGGGGGTCTCCATTTGGTAATATGATTCCTATATTGGTATTCATACATTGACAGTAAGAGTACCCCCCAGATTTTAAAGTACCCAACGTTTTGTAGGCATCTGATCTGGATTTTCCTAAAAATTCACTGTTTACTAACTGGCCTTTAATAGATCTAGCTCTACAGTTATTGTTGGAGTTTCTGGAATGTGGGGACTGAGAGTGGGGTCAATTTGAAGAAGAGGCCGATTTTTTGTTTAATATTTTTTCTAACAGATTTGTGTTGTCTAGTGTAGCAGGTAATAATCCCCAGTCCTTTTTTGCCTTTGGCATTCTTTTGAGAAGAGATGTCTCAGTTGTTTTATAGCACGTTTGAAAGCTTTTTCAGGCATGTGGATATGTAGCCCCTTACTAATAATCTCGTTCTTAACTCAGCTGTTTCCTTATAGAAGGTACCCTCATCTGAGCAATTGCGCCTGATAAGAAGATACTGACTATAGGGAATAGAGTTGAACAGAGGTCGGGGGTGCGAGCTTTGGGCATGCAAGATAGTATTACCTGCCGTGGGTTGTCTATACAGTCCGCTAGATAAATCACCTTCTGGCCCTTTCTTGATGGTTACATCAAGGAAGGTGATCATGGTAGGGCTATAAGACATGGTGAACCGCAGATTGAAATCATTGGTATTCATGGCCTAAACACACTGGAGTAACAACTCAACAGGACGCTCATCTATATAATGATACCACATCAAGATGTGGCTCGTTAGCAGTGACACCACTTTATCTGAGAGAAAAAAGCGCTCTCACTCCCCCAGGTACAGATTGATGTAGGATGGGGCAAAACATGTTCCTATTGCTACGCCCTGCACCTGGAGGAAGTGGGAGCCCTCAAACATAAAGATATTGTGGGTGAGAATGTATTCAAGTCCTGAAACAATGAACTTGTTAAGTCTCCATTCGTGTCTGTGTCTCTGAGACAATATATGCCTAATAGCTCCAATCACTTTATGATGGGGGGTGGATCTGTAAAGAACCTCTATGTGTATGGCTACTGGGATGGCTTCTGCAGATAACTGCATCCCTTCTAAAATTTGTAGAATGTGAATCGTGTTGCAGATGTAAGAAGGAAAATTGGTGACATATGGTCTTAAATGTGCGTCAGTAAAATGAGTGAGATTTTCCGTAAGGGAACCAACACCAGAAATTATAGGTCTACCTGGAGGGTTATTGAAATCTTTGTGAACCTTAGGAAGAGTGTAAAAAGTAGACATTTTTGGATGGCTTATATGCACAAACTCCCATACTGATTTAGTAATGATTCTCTCTAGATAGGCGTTGTCCACCATGAGATAAAATTCACAGTTGAATTTCTCAGTTTTAGATTATGGGATGGGACAATACCATTCATAACTGTGTAGTACCCTTAGGCACATTTTTCTATATATTTTTTTATATATCTATATTTTTTGGTCATTCATTGCTCATGATCACTTTGTTGCCACTTTTATCTGAAGGTTTTATTGTAAGATCGTGGCAATTGGAGAGATTTTTTAAAGCCTGTTTTCCTGAGTCAGTAAGATTATTAGATGAATTAGTAATCTTCATTTTTTTTATCTCTTTCATTATGAGGGTTATGAATGCTGCTATTTTGGGATTAGTATTTATTGAAGGGAACTTATATTTATTCTTGAGAGCTAATGTTGAAGAAGAGGGAATCTCCCTAATAGCTTGTTCTTCTAAAAAGTATTCAATGTCCAAGCGGTCAATTAAATCTACTGGTTGTTCTTCATTTAATAAGGCCACTATATCCGCAAGGGCCCTATCCTCCAGACCATCCTTATAAGATTGTCTAGTTTGTTCTTTGGAGTAGGTGCTCTTGAGTAGAAGATTAAGAGCAAACAATTGTAGATCTTTAAGGATCTCACATTTATTTAAATTTTGATCCTGACAGAAGCTTAGTCCCTTTGATAACATTTGAGTTTCTTCAGGAGAAAGTGTGTAATTAGAGAGATTGATGATTCTTAGTTCACTCTTTGTAGATATCGCATTACAGCTAGGTTCAGTGGTGTTAGTGGTAGTTAAGGAGTCCATGTGACTCTATGATTGTATGTGGGATCTACAAAAGATTCCCCAGGTTGATGTGTGTTAGAGCTAGAGAATCCTATATGAGAATAGGAAGAAGTTTCAGAAAAAGAAGTGCCATCACCAGAAGGCCCCGTAGGGTGTACTGCATAACCTCATGTATTTCCTGTATCCAAAGTGACAGACGGCCCTGTAGACCAACTATTGGAAACCTGAGGTGAGGGAGTAGGATCAAAGGTGTGTTTTTGGGGTTGAGTGTTAGGTCCTTCACCTGGTGAATTTCTTATTGTTTCATGCTCAGTAAAGTTGTTTTTGTACTTTTACCTCAGTATCTTTTGTAGTTGCCCGAAAAGTCCCAAACTACTTCTTTTTGGGGGTTCCCTGTTCTCTTTGTCCATTTGGATGTTGTCAACAGATGATAGACCATTGTTAGTGATTTCCCTCTATGTGTATGATAAATCAGTCCATTCAAAGCACTTCATTTTAATCAGGCTGATTTTACTTATCAGTACTGTACGTAGCTTTTGATGAACTGTTATATATAACTTAACAACTTTAAAAAAAAGTCCTGCGCTTGGGTTGCATAGAGACACAAAAAGCTGTCTACATAATACAGAATACTACGTATATAAATACAAATAGAAAGTGCCACGCTAAAACCTGAACCAGTAAATCTAACTGAAAATATACATTATACTGTATATACAATATATACAGTCATGGCCGAAATTGTTGGCACCCTTGATATTTTTCCTGAAAATCAAGTATTTCACACAAAAAAGGTATTGCATTAACACATGTTTTGCTATACACATGTTTATTCCCTTTGTATGTATTGGAACAAATATAAAACAGAGGCAGAAAAGCAAATATGACATAATGTCACACAAAACCCCAAAAATGGGCTGGACAAAAGTATTGGCACCCTTAACTTAATATTTGGTTGCACACCCTTTGGAAAACATAACTGAAATCAGTCGCTTCCTATAACCATCAATAAGCTTCTGACACCTCTCACCCGGAATTTTGGACCACTCTTCCTTTGCAAACAGCTCCAGGTCTCTCTTATTGGAAGGACACCTTTTCCCAACAGCAATTTTAAGATCTCTCCACAGGTGTTCAATGGATTTAGATCTGGGCTCATTGCTGGCCACTTCAGAACTCTCCAGCGCTTCTTTGCCATCCATTTCTGAGTGCTTTTTGACGTATGTTTGGGGTCATTGTCCTGCTGGAAGACCCAGGATCTTGGACGCAAACCCAGCTTTCTGACACTGGGCCCTACAGTGCGACCCAAAATCCTTTGGTAATCCTCAGATTTCATGATGCCTTGCACACAGTCAAGGCACCCAGTGCCAGAGGCAGCAAAACAACCCCAAAACATCATTGAACCTCCACCATATTTTACCGTAGGTACTGTGTTTTGTTCTTTGTAGGCCTCATTCCGTTTTCGGTAAACAGTAGAATGATGTGCTTTACCGAAAAGCTCTATCTTGGTCTCATCTGTCCACAAGACGTTTTCCCAGAAGGCTTTTGGCTTACTCAAGTACATTTTGGCAAACTGTAGTCTTGCTTTTTTATGTCTCTGTGTCAGCAGTGGGGTCCTCCTGGGTCTCCTGCCATAGCGTTTCATTTCATTTAAATGTCGACGGATAGTTCGCGCTGACACTGATGCTCCCTGAGCCTGCAGGACAGCTTGAATGTCTTTGGAACATGTTTGGGGCTGCTTATCCACCATCCGGACTATTCTGCGTTGCAATCTTTCATCAATTTTCCTCATCCGTCCACGACCAGGGAGATTAGCTACAGTGCCATGGGTTGCAAACTTCTTGATAATGTTGCGCACTGTGGACAAAGGCAAATCTAGTTCTCTGGAGATGGACTTGTAACCTTGAGATTGTTGATATTTTGCCACAATTTTGGTTCTCAGGTCCTCAGACAGTTCTCGTCTCCTCTTTCTGTTGTCCATGCTTAGTGTGGCACAGACAGACACACAATGCAAAGGTTAAGTGAACGTCTCTCCTTTTTATCTGCTTTCAGGTGTGATTTCTATATTGCCCACACCTGTTACTTGCCCCAGGTGAGTTTACAGGAGCATCACATGCTTGTAACATTCTTATTTATCCGCAGTTGTGAAAGGGTGCCAATACTTTTGTCCAGCCCATTTTTGGAGGTTTGTGTGACATTATGTCGAATTTGCTTTCTTTCCTCCCTTTTTTTGTTTTGTCCCAATACACACAAAGGGAATAAACATGTGTATAGCAAAACATGTGTTAATGCAATACGTTTCGTGAGAAATACATGATTTCCTGGAGAAATATCAAGGGTGCCAACAATTTCGGCCATGACTGTATATATATATATTATATATACTGTATATATATATATATATATATATATATATATACACCGGTATATATATATCAGTCTTTGCCTATAATATTGAAGTAGGACACCTGATTTCTCATCTGACATATTTGAAAGCTTGTAGGAGAAATGGAGTTAAGGTTCTCACCTACTGTAACCTGTACATTTTTGTATTTTCTAATCTTGCAGGCTAAATGTCACATGTAATCTGATTAGCTGCTATGGATAGATATTCATTCATATAATTTTTTATAAATCAGCTACCTCTATAAAATTTTTATGAATCTGTATTACTTAGACCTTTTTACACCATCTAATACATCCATTGTGTTTGCTGTTGTGCATGAAGATAAGTGGTTCAATATTTGACTTGGTGATTGGCTAACAAACCTGAATAATTGATACATTCAAACTTCCACCCGGCAGGCTTTTGAAGATATCTACATAGAACAAAGGAAAACAATTAAAACCATGCTGGAATATGCTGATAAAGTCTTCACATACATCTTTATCCTTGAAATGCTTCTAAAATGGGTGGCCTATGGATTTGTAAAATATTTCACCAATGCTTGGTGCTGGCTGGACTTCTTGATTGTTGATGTAGGTATTTTATACTTTTTTATGCACTCATGTATTGTATCAATATTACAACATGGAATGTTTGTTCATCATTTTGCTATTTTAATTGAGCAAACATATGATATGCAAGTGTGATCATTTAGACTGTATTCACATCTGTGCATGTTTGTTAGTGCATATTTTTATTGCACTGATGCCTGTTGTCCTAAGGCAGCCCTTTCACTTAGAGTGGGGTCTCCAATGAGCCTGAACACGTGAAAAAAGCACATCTGTAATATTTTTGGGCAATGCAGTGCACTACAATACACAGCGCATGCACATCTATACATTGTGATGTGCTGAAGTGCAGATGAGTAGCACCACACAATGATGCACATATATAGTGTGTTGTAATGGGTTACAGTAACACATGTTAAATTGTGGGTTTTAATATGTGCTACCTTGTACACAAAGATGTGGAGCCTTCCTTAAAGTGGAAATAAATCCACGTATCCTTTGTAGCCAAGGAAGCTGCCATCTTAGCCTCCGTTTGATCTGCAGTTGCCAAGGTGCTGCACATGTGATCAGTTATACCACCTGGAATTTGATGCCTTTACAGTTCATTTGAGAGCGCAAGCAGCTATAACAGTTATCGTTCATGGCATGCCTTAAATGTAACTGTTTTGGGAACCAGGTAAATTGATGTGTTTAGTTAGACTTTAAAGTATTCCAAAGAGAACATGTAGTTTAGTTAGAGATGGAATATCATTGGAGTCAGCATATGCACACTAACCCCAGATCTTTCAGCACACCTACTGGCTGCCAAGCTGAAGCCATCATAGTTTGTGTGATACCAAAATTACTGTGGCTAGGCATACCCCCAGTCACTCTCATGTATTGACATGAAGCTATAGGGTTCTTGTGCATTTCATTACCTTGTAACATGTGTGAAAATGTGTAATGTTGAAATTATGTTGTTTTAATACCATGACATTGGTGAAAAAGTCAATTGCTACAATGCAATCTTTCTATAGGTTTGATCCCAGATGGTAACAAATATTTACATTTACAAGCTAAGATTAAAGAATGTCCATATTTAGCAAACCAATATCTTAGTTATGGATGGAAGCTAATGAGCAAAATCATCCACTGGCTTCTTATATCTCTCTCTTATGGCTCTAAGAGATGCCTATAGTTAATGTTCCCTGCCAGAGTGCCTTGCTCTGCTTACGCATCTTTGAATCCTATTTTAGTTTCACTCATAGTCTTGATTTGTCATCAAAAATTCAACTAAAAAAGTCTTGCGAAAAAGCAAAAATCAATTATGGTTAGACTAACCATTTAAACGTGTTGTCCTTGTTATTGCACAAGGCTGCCATATGTGCCTGCAGTTTGAGCCTCACTCTAAAACGCCCTGGGAGCCCCACAACCCAGAGCATTCTTGAACAACACCAATATTCAAGAGTTGGAGCTCGCACTCTCTGTAATAGGAAACATCGCTGGCCAATAGTGAGCTCTGGTATATAGGAGTGGGCAGATCCCAACTGTTGACCACAAAAACTGGTCAGTATTTTTTTATTAGAGCACCCTTGGTTTCAGAGTGCAATAACACATGGTAGCAAGTACAAAAGTACTGTACATCATTGTGGCTCTTTTAACTGTTTAATTAACCAAGCCTGAATATTATGTATCAGATATCAGTATGTGTGTGTTTTTTTCTACTACCCCAACCAATTAATGCACAGAAGTATTTTCTGTATAGGAAATTGTGCTTTTTTTGTTAAATGCATTGGAAAGAGCTTTCTGGAAAATGAAGCAAACACGTTGCCATTTTAATAGTGCCTACTCCTGTCCTCTGGGATGTCAGTGTTGAATATGACTGTTAATACCACAGTTAGGTTCCTGTAGATAATGGAAATTATTGAATTTCCATAGTGCTATGTGATTCAATTTAACCTCACATTTTCTTATTCTTTGCAAAGACCTTTGTTAATGACTCAAATCGATCTTTCAACAGGAAACAGATGGCCGGTCTGTGAAGCAGTGCAGCTACATAAATATAAATGTGATGATCTTTTTGCTCTGTGTTATAAAATGTTTTATTCTCTTTTATGTACTGTAGAGCTGTTGTAGGTATCCTGGAACTTTACAGATGTTATTTTTAGAGGTGTACCCAAATATGCATGGGTTGATCTAAAGTTTAGATTTGTAAAATTGTTTTTATCTCAAACACTAAGGGAATTTTTTCATTTATTTGGAATTCGACATCCAACCCATTTTGTTTTTCGATAGTTAGTAAGAGAAGCTATGTCTTTTTTTTTTTGTCCCAGTCAGGAGTTTTCAACTCTTGGTAACGATAAATACAGTCAGAAATTTGACCAACCTTACCTCATTCTACTAAGAAAAACTTTTATTTTTGTATGTGTTTCTTTTAGAGAGTTCCCCCACTTCCTGTCTAGAAAAACATAGAACAGGAAGCAAGGGAAGCCTCTATAAATGAGTCCTGGATAGCAGTAAATGCATAAGGGGGTATTAACCCTTCCCCACTCTATCCAAAACTAGAAAATGTTTTGACTGGACATACACTTTAACAACATGTACATAATCCCTGCCAATGATCTTTATTAAAACAGCCCCTCATTCTGCCATCTTTCTCTGAATTAAATTCCTCCACTGTTCAAAGGACCTGCAGGTCTTCTAGCCAACATCATGTGGAATGTGAGAAATATGAAATTGTAGCTTCCAACCCCTAGTAAAACCATGCAGTGTGGGAGCAGGGCAGGTGTAGGCAACCTTTGAGAGGTGGAAATCTACCTGAACAACATGAAAGAGATCAAAGATCACTGGGGTTCAGCGCCATTTAAAAAACAAATAGTTAACTAGCAAGCGCTAACTAAATAGCAAGGAAAATGTAGAAAAATAAAACAAATGTCACTGTAAAAAATACAAACTTATCCTACATTAAAAATGGACAGTGTCAATCAGTAGGGCAGTGGTTGGTGTCAGTCAGTAGAGCAGTGGATAGTGTCAGTAGAGCAGTGGACAGTGTCAGCAGGGCAGAGGTTGGTGTCAGTAGAGCAGTGGATAGTGTCAGTAGAGCAGTGGACAGTGTCAGTAGGGCAGAGGTTGGTGTCAGTCAGTAGAGCAGTGGATGGTGTTAGTAGAGCAGTGGACAGTGTTAGTAGGGAAGAGGTTGGTGTCAGTAGGGCAGTGGATGGTTTCAGTAGTTTTTATTTGTACATTTTTATTTTTTTATATTTTTCACAATTTCTTTAGGAGCCCTGTTGAAAGGGGAGCACTTGGGGGAAGGGCCAGGCAGCAGAAAAAAAGGAGGAATAAGGATGGAAGGGGCAGCGATGGAGGGGTTTACTAGAACTGATCCCCTGGATTTTCCTCCTGCAGCAGCTGAATGCTGGTGGGAGGGCGAGGATGAGATGCTAGCTTTCATCTGCTCCAGGAGGACAATAAGGAGGATCGCCAGAAGGCAGGTATTTTAAAAATCTGAACTCCTAGCAATTGGCTGGAGATTGGGATTTTTCTGCCCCCCAGCTACCCTGGTGTCCTAAGGCGGCTGCTTAAGCAGCCATATGCTGGGTGCCAGCATAAGGCTGCTTAGCAGCTGCCTCAGGGCCCCAGGGGGTAGGGGGGGCAGAAAAATCCTGATCCCCAGCCAATTGCTGGGAGTTCAGATTTTTAAAATACCTGTCCATGGGAGGAAAGGGGGGGGGGGCACTGCTGGTGGAGGGGAAGGGGGCTAGAGGGCACTGCTATGGGGGAAAGGGGGGCAGAGGACATTACTGGGGGGGGGAGGGGTCCAGAAGTGACTGCTTTGGGGAGAAAGGGGGGCATACAACACTACTGTGGGGGGTGTGTGATATGAAGGGTGGTAGAGGACACTGCTATGGGGAAGGACCTGCCCATAGCAGTGTCCTCTGCACATCACCCCCCCCCCCCCCCAGTAGTGTCCTCTGCCCCCCTTCCTTCCCTCATAGCAGTGACCTCTGCCCCCCCTCCCCCCAGCAATGCACCCCCTTTTTCCCCCAGCCTCTTCCGCTGCTGCTGACATCCTCAGTGCACAGTGGGGAGTGGAAGACAGCACAGCTCAGGATGGAGGGCGGGAGGAGGAGCTGGCTGAATGAACTTTTCATATTAATCTGCAGGTCATTGGTTGCTAAGTCAGTCATGAGCTGTGCTGTCCTCCTCTCTCCGCTGTGCACTGAGGATGTCAGCAGCAATGGGGGAGGCTTTGGAAAGAGGGGGGAGAGGGACCTGTTCACGGTTTACCTGTCACCTGCCTGCGGTGGACAGGTTGACCACAATTGATAGGTTGCCGATCCCCGAAGTAGAGGATGGAGGTATAGAAAGTAGATGCAAGATTTCCAGTTAAGATGAATATAAGACCCCAGTTCATAGCTCCATTGTGCAAGTAAACCCATAATAGAATTTTTTTTTTTAGTTTATTTGTGCAGTTTTACCCTTTAGAACCAGATTTGCTCTTCTGGCATGTTTTCCTTTTATGCTCATTATACAAAGTTGGATAAAATTGACACAGTCCTTCTCAACTCATAGCTTGTGTTTAGCCAAGCTACTGCCCCTCTATATAACATTATACTACTAGTTCAATCCCTATACTGGTCAATACTGGATGCCAGGGAGGAGACTCTTACAGACATAAACATTTTTCAGGGATAAAACTGTGCTTTGATATGATTTCCATCAGCAAAGACAAAATGTATGATCACTAAGTTTAAAATCCATTGAAAGTTTGAAGTTATTCTTTGGTTGTGCCTGCTGTGTGTAGTAATATAGAGCTTTCCCGTATTCACACTATTCCATGGATGTAACCGAAGTGCGACCTATCATTTCCAGAACTCACCTGCTGTCACCTCATGGTGAACCCTAGCACAGCTCCTCAACCATAAAATACAGTAAGTCTTGTGCTATTTTTTATGCCAAGTCTTAAGAAAGCTAATAATGGCAAACAATGAGACCAGTCCCCATTGTTGTCTAGGAAGGTATTGTGGGAGTAGAGGACCATTATGTTAGCCCAGGTAATGTAGTACAGCTAAGTAGTGAATTTTTAAGAAAATGTGTACTGTAGTGCCAAACAGCATCCTAAAATGTAGAGCTGAGATTTGTCCTTTGATAATTTGTGTTAACTGTAAAGGTCCCATAAGATTTTATTTTCCAATGCAGAATAACAGACATCTCAATGGAAAGATTAAGACTTGCTGTTATGGTATCTGAATAACATGGTGTATATCTATGTTCTTCAGAATTAAATCAACAATATGTGCAATTCCCACATGAACAGATGTGTTTAATCACACAAAATGGATGAGCACCTTGATTATTACATATTAATAAATGTTCATAAAATCTTACACACATACACGATGCCAGACACACCTGTGCAGATCCTTTCTTCCTAAGCATGGCCTTTATTCCTACCTCTTTGAATATCAGAGGCTTCTTTAACGATTACTGTTCAAAGAGGTTTTCCTAGATATCCTTTTGATGTCAGGTTTCTTCTCATGTAGGATTTTAGGTGGCCAAAGCTACTTACTGAAGTCAACAGCAGTTAATACGCAATTAAAATACGGTCTTCTATTAATAGTGATGCTCAGGCAATTATAGAATTACTTTTAATTTGCAGGACAGAATTAGCATTTTATACCTGCTTTAGGTGACAGGCATGGAATCTAAAAAAAAATGTACAGAGAATCGCATCAAGATCTGTTACTGCTCTGTAAAATACAATTTTAGTATCTCTGTGTGAAGAAAAGGAATGTAATAAAATAAGAATGGCATAGAAAACAATTAGGCAAAAGTATTTGTAATAGTGTGCAGTGGTTGCTAAATAAACATTTTCACCTGGCCATGTATGTATGGGATCAGATCATTTGTCCCTGTGTGTGGTAGGGCCTCTTTCACGTGGGCAACCCACGTCTATTCACTGAGACCGTGTAGAACAAGGTATAGATAAGTCAGCAATGAGGAAGGATTGGCTTCAGGAACACTGCAGGCAATGCTGGTTAACAGTCCTCTGCCCTATGTCTGCTTTTTTTGCCCACAGCTTCAGGAGTTCATTTCCCCTTGAAAAAGTTTATAGCTGTGTATGGCTACACCTCCTCTCCAATGTGTCATAACTGTGAATTGTAGGGATGGGCACAAACACAATATGGCTCCCCAGTAGGCAAGACAACAAATTACTTTGATTGCTCTGGTTTAGAAAATATTATGCACAATTTACAAAGTTAACAAGCTGGGATAAGAATCCTTACTTTAGTCATGTTACTGTCATTTTTAAATCTCATTTGAACTGTTACTGGAAACCAAAATATGGATTTTAATCCTGTTTTTTTTAGCTTTGTGAATTGGGCCACAGTTATATACAATGGCAACATCAGAATTTTATACATTTTTCCAAGTAATTTGAGGTCAAAACAGCATGTTCATTAGAAACTATAAGAACATTTTCATTCAGACTGGAGATCCCTGTTAACAAAAGTATGAAGAAAGAATGTGGAGTGTTCGTCATTGTGACAATATGTTTCACGATCCACTTAAGTAAAATAATGCTCTAAATAGATAATGCACTTTGCAAGCACCTTACATTTTCTTTGTCTGAGTTTATAGAGAACATGTGACTCATTTAGTGGAAGCAGCAATTACATTGAACGAGTCCTACACAACAGTCAAGCTAGAGATTCCAAAGTGTTAATGAGCTGTGCTAACTACTAAGATATTATAAAGGTTCACTTTAAATTGCTTTGAGTGTAACCCAATTTGCGTCAAAACATTGTAATGAGAATTATATTCAGTTGCGTTTCAGTGTTCACAGCATGATGATTCAGCATGCATGGCCATGAATCATGAAAACATTTACAGAGTCTGTCCATCAAACTTGACCTCCTTGTCTTTAAAATTGGAAGAAGTACAGAATTGAAGTAATTTTGTATTACCCTGCTGTTTGCCTAACATAAAAGTAAAATTCCACATTTGAACCTAGTTTCTGCAAACTGTTTTCTACAATGTTTTTTAGAGTGCAGTGTAGCAATCACAAGCACCAAGAAACTTAGTCAATCTATAATTAAGCTTAGGTTTTCTTATAATACAGGTTTGCTCTGCTCAAATCATCTTCCCATCAGCTCCATCATTCAATGCATTGTTTAGTTCTCTTCACCCTGTCCAACAAGTTGACAGAAGTCAACAGCACTTCCAATTTCCAAAATTATTTTTTGCTTGGAACATCAACATACAGGTGACTTGTGATGTGTTTTGGCCCTAAAATCAGAGTTCCTCATGCCAATTTTAACTCACCTTTCCTGTTACCGATTGAGCAAATTATCACTACCTTGATCACCCTGTCATGTACAAAAATTCTCCCAAGCTGATCCAGCACATGTACATTTCAATCTCATTTATTCCTATGGAAGTACAGAATTGCAGAGTATACCCTGAGCCCAGTAAGAATGAACAGGATTTCCATGGCCTTAATCTACATCCATTGCTTTTACAGTTGTGTGATGGATGTTCCTCCAGGGGCACCTTACCCCTGAACCTGATTGACCACATCAACCTTTTCAAAGTGTTTTTTTCTCCCTAAATTTAATTATGCTTTGCCCTGCCCGGATACCTGCCTTTTTTTTTTAAGGAGGTAGGTCATTGTGTCAGCTCTTTCTTCTGGGGGGAGGGAACTCTCCCTCACTTGGCGAAATCTACTTTATGTCTTCCTGTGAGATGTGGAGGGTTGGAGTTGCCTAATTTTCTGGTCTACTATTGGGCTGCTGCCTTGGTCTCAGTCTGCTGGTGGTTTTTAGAGTTCCCGGGCTAATGCAGCTGTCTGTTTGGAGGTTGCCCTGTTGAGTTTGCTTACAGAGCTTAGTGATTTGGTGTATAAGGGCCCCAAGGCCCATGCTGACCTTCCACATCCTACCAGGACGATCCAGATATAATATTAAGACACTCTGGGCTATTATGACTACAGGAGTCTTGTTACCCTTCAGAGATCTTTCCATTAAATTTGGGTTACCTAGATGGATTTATTTCCACTACTTTCAGTTATGTCATGCTACTAAGGCTCAGTTTTCATACCTCCCTGCACTGGCCATGGACCCCATTTAGGAGCTCCTTGCACAGGTGTCTTTGTCCAAACCTTTTTCTTCTCTTTACCTGGCATTACTTAGTCTTGATTCTCCCCAAGATGGAGAGGTTGCAAGAAAAGTGGAAGGCTGGCATTCCCTCTCTGAACAGGAAAGACTGGGAGGATTGTTTTGAGGACAGCTCTGAACTAGTTATCTCCTCTAGGGACAAACTAATACAAAAAAAGTTTTGCAAAGGGTATACTGCACTCCCCAGAGATTGCACAGAATCTACCCTTAGAGGTCCCCTAACTGCTTGTGTTGTCAAGCACATGTTAGTACATACTTCCACATGTTCTGGGGTTGCCTTAACATGGCACAGTTTTGGACTGATGTCTTTGAACTTATTAATGTTCATCTTTAACTGTACCTTCCGATGTACCCAGACTTGGTGCTTTTGATCATACAAGACTATGAGTAAAGGCCTCGATGCACGAAATTGTTGGTATCCTATTTATTATACTATGCTAAAAAAGAAATACTGTGTAAGTGGAATGCACCCTTCTCCCATTTGGTAGCTTCATGGGAAAACTTGATTAGCACTGTGTTGCCTACGTATAAAACGAACATATATTAATAGAAACTGTCCTAAGAAGTTTGATAGAATATGGCAGCTGTGGATGGCAGAATGAAAAAAAAATTCTTCTTTGTCCAATGCATGCATATGGCTGCAAACTACTATCCTGGGTTTGTGCTTTCATATCCCTCTGATCTTCAGGAAATGCCCTTTTGTTCTTATTGTTGCTTATTCTTGACTTGACTTTTGTGAATATGTGTCATATGCTGTATATGTATCATGCCTATGTTCTCAATAAACTACCAGTATGGTTGTTAAGAATGAACAGGTTTGTAGAGAACATGCACAAACCCAGCCAGGAAGATTTTTGAGAACTGGAGTGATCTAGGTAGCAATATCTTGCTGTATCAGAGACAGGTGAGTATAAGACTGGCATGTGGGTTTGAGGTTAGGGGGTGCTCTGACTTACATATACATATTAAAGTCTTTGACAAAGGACGTTAAGTCCAAAACGTAAACTCCTGTAGACATTGCTGGAGTTATAAATAAAGAAGTATTTTAAAAATGGGATGTTCTGCTGCCTTTTGTCACCCTATTATAAACCAAAGTTTTCTAAAGGATAAAAACTTAGCTTAATTATTTCTTTAACTGATTCTTTTGGTTACTATCTATGAAAAAACCTTCAAAGAGGGATAGAAGAATAAGCTTCCCTTAAAAGCAAAAGTTAGTCACATAATTTACAAACTTCTCATCTATTAATTAAACATGCTGTTAATTCTGAACAGATTTCAATCATATCTCTTTTGGTGGTGGCCCTCAGGTATGATCAACTAGCCGCTATTAAATCTCTAAGGATGTTGAGAGTATTGAGACCTCTACGTGCATTATCAAGATTTGAAGGCATCAGGGTAAGGCTAAGACCTAGGTTGTCACACAGGACAGATTCACTTGGTTTATTTGTTGTAGGTTCGTTTTTATTGTCAGGCTTAATTTTGCTCATCAAAACCAACTGGAGCTTCAGCAAAATGTGAGAGCGGGTAAGACCTTGAGGGTGTGTGCTCAATTGTGTTAACAGGTCTCCATCATCAAGTGGATCTCATGTACTTTGTCCTTTCTAATCAGATTTATTTTTCAGCTTGCTCGCTTACATGGAAGGATTTAGAATGGGTCGTTTTCCCCTGGAAAACCAGAGGATGCCTCAAACATTTATGTGGTGGCAGAAAAATTATAATTGTTGCTTTTGTTTTCTTATATAGGTGTCTCTCGTTAGCCTAGTAGCTAATGCTTTGGGATACTCAGAACTAGGGGCTATTAAGTCCCTAAGGACATTAAGGGCCTTGAGACCACTAAGAGCCCTTTCACGGTTTGAAGGGATGAGGGTAAGAATATAAAGGACTTTTAATGCATGCGTAGAAACATGCATGCGATATGTCATAAGGAAAGAAAAATCAACTCAATTGCTTTACCGTTTCGGCTGTAAAAAAAACACATCATGTTAGATTTCTTTATGTAAGAACTTGTCTTTCACAGTAGTGGACAGCCACAAAGTATCAGATATATTTTTGAAGGGTCATTAAACCTATTCAAACAAGTTTAGCGTCATCCTCAGAAAATCTACCAATGAAGGTAACAGCATTTAGCTCACATGAAAATAAATAATATAAACACTTTTTTTACTGCTTTAAACTGCTATAAGGGCATCTAATGTAGAGTGCTTGCAGTGTGTTGTGAAGGTAAAGGGGGAAGAGCAAGAAGAAAGAAAAAAAAAACTGCAGTGAGAGGAGAGGGAAAACATGTCACTGTACGGAGCCAGACACATCTCTTTCTCTCCCCAGAGTTGCCATTCATATGATGCTTGTCCCTCTCCCCCCAGCTGATCCTCGGCCTATATTGGGGGTGGGCAGGGCAGTCTGCAGAGCAGTGCTTGTTGCTCCAGGCAGACAGGATAAGGGAGAGCAGCTGCAGCTGCTAGAAAGACCTGATTCATATGAGCAATGGCTGCTGGAAGAGGAAGACACAGACATTGTTGCAGGAACCTGTCAATCATCTTGTTGAACCTACCCCTCCAGAGTCTCATGGGGTGGCTTCTAGAGGATAGAAAAAAGTGAATGGGGAAACAGAGGAACTGGCTGAGCATGCGCACTGAGTGTGGCAACGCAGGAGCCAGAGGATCAGCTGCCATAATGTTGCCACAAAAAGAAGGCAGGTCCATGGGAAAGGCAGAATCAACCAGGTATTTACTAATACAGAAACACATTATCCTTGTAAGCTTCTACACACAGTTTTAGTACATACTTCTAAAGAGATAGAAGTACACGTAAATATGTTTGGGTTTAATGACACTTCAAGTTAATAACACAAGTAATGAAGTAAAATCTATGCATTTTATTAAACTTTTAATAATCTTAGTGATAATGTATGAATTGACATGCAGAGATAAATTGGCTTTAATTTTAGCATTACTAGGTTCGCTGTCAATTTATTTGCTTCACACCGTAATATAGGGCTCTTTCTTAAAACAGAAGTGTGGATAGATTTGATATATCTCCATCTAACTAAATTATGTATTCATTATAAAAATCCTAGAGGGTATATTTTGAATAGTGCTCTGCCTTTATATTAGGCATTTGTAATTCCTGTTTTATTGTGCTTCTCAAGGACTTGGCAGATAGAAGGAGGGAGTTCAGTGTGTTGCTGCTACCTCACTGTCAATTCACAAGCTGTGACAGCACTTGACCAGTTATTTTAACTACAGTTAGGGTAGATTTAGGAATGCGTCTAAATCTACCTCTCCCCTGAACACCAATTATGCTTCAGAGGCAATTGACAGGTGGTGGGGAGGCACTGTGATGCCTCCTCACTGCCTGTTTTAACCCCCATTTTTGCTGACAAATGCATCACAATCAGCTTGCCGCTCATTGATCACTGCATGTTGGGTAGATTTTGCTGCAGGTGCAAATCATTGCTACCATGGCGTGTAAACACCCCCATCCACTGCCTATTACAGCTTAAGGGAGAACAGATGGCTGCTGGTAAAACACAGCTCAACCATGCATTTATACTCTTCCATCCCCCAACCACACATACTGTAAAACTTAAGCTAGCCATAGACAAAGCGAAGAAAACCGCTCGATTCCCCCATCAACACAGTCAGTGTTGAGAGCACAGTGATTATTGCTAGCAGCTATAATAACTGCTAGCATTAATACCATGTAAAATGGACAGGCTGGTTGTACCCAAGTTGATCAATCAATCAACTTCGGTACATTCAGCCTGCCCATACATGGTTTGAATCTCGGCTGGTTCCTGCTAAACCAGCCCAAGATTTGAACTGTCTAGGGCTGGCTTTAGCATGAAGAACAAATATGGTCAGGATCTGGCTCTGGCTTCCAGCACAGTTATTTGGGTTAGGAAAAGGACAGAACAAGATAACACATTTTATGGAAGGTAGCGCAGTTTGCGCTTATTTGTACTTCAACTGTTTGCCCACACTTTCACCTTAATGTCAACAATTTTGTATGGCTAGCCATTGTATAGTAAGTTGAACGCAAGCAGTGCATAAAGACCAAACAAACATGTAAGCTGTGTTCACCAAGGAGTTGTTTGCTAACTATAGAAGTCAATAAATTGTTTAATACAGAAAATAAAGAAAAACAAACATAGTAAAAAATCTGTGGGTCAGCTCAGTTTGTCTCTGCATATTCATGACATCATCAATAACTACTGCAAGAAAGTTGTAGGCATCAACAAAGCAATATGTTTAGTATGTAAGCTGCAATTAAAGAAAAGAAAAACAAAATCAGGTACCCCATGGTGCCAACATATTTTTTGCGATTATTTTGATGTGCAGATTCTGCTATTAACTATTGCACATTCATTTGTTTTACTGCAATAATTGTTTACATACACTTAAACATTTGGAAATTGTTACTTTTTTGGGGACACTTTATTCCATGCATGTATTTTTTCTGTTCTGTATTCATTGGAAATGTACTTATGAAGCTTGTACTACAGTAAATCAAAATAATTTGAATTTATTTTTAAGAGCAACAGTATTATTGAAGATTGAAATATTGATGGCTCAATGGGAGAATCTCTTGTATTTGATAATATTTTTACAATTTTTTTCTCTTTGCAAATTACCTTTTTTTGCTACAGTCTGGACAAGTAGAATTTATTGGTTAGCAAATTTGTGAAGAGGTGAGGGAGAGGAGATGTTACATGTGCTATGTCAACCAATTATTCCACTGTCCTGGGAGAATGCTCTTATTGACCAATGTGCTGATTTTATTAGATAGTAGAATGTTGGACCGGTGGGACATAGCTACACCTGGTGTGGCTTAACTCCCAAGTGAGAAAATGTGAGGTGTCTGCTCTTAGCACATCAAAATGTAATTTAACACTACCCCCTTAGGAGCGGCTGAGTGTTTTGGGTTCCCTGTCTGTTCTGAGCTTGTTTTGGAAGCACAGCCCCTGCCGACACTACCGGGAAACCTTGACCAGGAGACCCCCCCCGGCTTTGAACCACAAAATAATCACACAGTTTAAGGTGGACAGATATTCTGATTGTATTGAGGTCAGGGTATAGGAGGTGCAAGCACAAAAGGAATGACAATAAGTGTCCACAAAAATTAAACACTCTGAAAGGTTTAACAGAATAATCAAACACAGTGTCACTTTAAGTAAAACCAAGTGTCCTGCAGGACCAGAGTTTAAACATCAATTCCAGCACTGAAATATCTTTCCCCAAGTGAGCTGAAATAGGTTATCAATATACTGAGCTAACTCATTTTTAACTTTATAGAGATGAATTTTTGTAAACAATAATGTCACTTTTAGTATTTGATCAAAGAATAGCAACACATCTTTTGTGTGCTTGATTGGGCCCAAGTAGGTGCACATCAAGGTTGAGATCCTCTTTTGTGTATGAACAAGATTTCCTCATGAAATACAGCAACAGAAATATTCCCCTTAGAGTGGTATGGAAAACTGGGTAAGGGTCTCTTTAACACAGTAGATGATGCAAGAATTTGATAGAGTTGAAAAAAGTAATGAAAGCAGACTTCAGTAGAGTTTGAACCCTTACAGGTGGTGAACTAGACTGGTGAAGCAAGTTTCTTTACAGCTCAAAGAGGCTTTAAATGAAATACTATGTGTAATCATGTCTGCAGGGAGCACATGCTATAGCAAGAGTCCTGCGGTTTCAGAATAGTAGGGGGACAAAAAAAGAAGTAGGCCGTAATACTGAGTGGGCTAGGTAGTCTGTGTCTCAATGTGATAAACTGTGGTGTAAAGTGTACTAAACTGGAAAAATTGAAAATAAGCCTCTTGCAACTTGTGATGATCAGGGTTATCACCCAGTCTGTAGTATTTGCAGCGCGAACGGTGGTCTCTCTGTTGGCGGAGGCCTCTGTGTTCTCTCGATCCCTCTGCTAAAGAAGCGATGCCAATAACAGCTCTATGATCAGCCTGCCTGTGGGATTGACTGTCCTTCTTGTCAGTGATACCAGCAGTCTGCAGTCCCTCTTTCCTTCTCTGTGATGTGGCCCAAACCAGCCTGGATCCCCTGTGTCTCGTACTGTCTTCTCCACACACTCGACCTCAGCCTTTCACCCTCTACTTCCTTCTCAGAAAGTTCCCAGGATTCTGAACATATAGACTCCTGCCCCTTTGCCAGCTCTTCTGGAAAATGTAGTCTGTTTACTCTTTGTCTGAGTACAGAAGACCTGCTATCAGCACACAAGTTCAACAAGGCTTTCCTTTGCTTCATTAAAGTCTGTATAACTAAACTGCAGAACACTGCCATCTTGTTTATGTTTAGGCATACTTTTACCGTTGGAATTCCTAGAGGACAGATATTAGTGTTCCATTATAAATTGTTGATATGTTACATATACCTTTAGGAGTACAGATCATCTAGTTCATAAGTCCAGATTTTTATAGCCTGCTTTTGTATTGAGATTGCCTGGCAACATTCTAAGCAGAACGTCATAGTTATGTTTGTACTCTACTTTAGACTTTTAAAAGCAAAAGTTCTGCCCAACAGCAGACACTGTCTGATTTAGTTTCACTGTGTTGCTAGGGGCTGACATTTCCTAACTAAGCTGTGTCAACTGCCATTTCAACACCCATTTCAGTAGACAGAAAGGGTGCGCTCATTGGACAGGCTTACGGCAGTAAGCGTAGCTTAGCCAAGAAGTCAAGGAAAGTGAGGTTCCTATAAAAGGTGAAACTAAATCAGAAAGGGGCAAAGAAGAGTTGCGTGGTTTGCGAATATAGGCCATAGCAGGTATCTTTTGATGTGTTTTCTTAGAAAGCACTTACAGCTTGGCACCTGGTATATTCATATCATTTTCATCAACAGATACAGGTGAGATTC